TACTGTGCTGTCATTAAAAAAAAAGAAAGGTTGGTTTCAGTGTGGACTGGCTCATGAGTAGGAGAGGATAGTGCAAGGAACCTGGACCAGCCAGCAAAAACCCATACAAATGGGGAGGACCAAGCAGACTCCACTCATACATGTCCAGTCTTCTTTGTGTGAGGTGACGGTACTGGACACTAAAACTTTGTTTCAAAAAAATTAGGCTCAAGATATTTAAGGCAAAATTACCACAGTTTACCACTCACCCTCGCTCAGTAGAGATGGTGAACTATTACACAGATGAGTATCTTCAGAATGTGTTATATCATTTTGAAATGAAAATTAAGGAAATAGATAGTACAAATATATAATTCTGACCTGGTTTTCATCAGCCCAGGAGTGAGGATTATGGGAAATCCTCCTTCATATTGTTCAGTCCTGGGGTTCCTCCACATAAAGTACATTGTAGAGTGTTATATACATGTGTCATTTAGAAGTAATACAGTGGTGTTCAGCTGTAAAACAGAAGTGCAGATAGGAAACATGATGTGTATTGGTTTAAACAAACAGCCTGAAGTGCAGTTGACTTCACTGGGGTAAATAACTTGCAGGGGAGGCAGCTTTATATGGAATTAATTGCAAACAAGTTGCCTGCTAATGGCCTGAAAAGGCCTTAATGGAAGTGTTCCATTAAAACAACCAGCACTGATGCCATCAGACAAATTTCCACTAAGTGTTGCCTCATGAAAATGATAACTTGCTAATCCATTATTAATAAGAATTAATGGTTCTCTCTCTGCCGTGTGTGTATCGATCCCTGATACTCTACACTACAGAGTAGCTCTCACTGGGTGCTCCTGCAGGCCTGGGAATACACTAATTGTTAGCCACACAAGTGCCATTTATGCAACTCTCCCTGCTGTTTCTGCATTTATTACAATCCTTGCTCTGAGGCCTCCGACAAGAAAAAAATAAAGAACTGCTTGGGAACATCACACAGTAACACTGCTTTGTGTGTTTCAGAATGGTGATAAAATAATTCATTTTTGCACTTTACGTGCAGTCCGTTAAAAGCTCACCTCAGTTCTTATCCTAACAAAAAACATATGACATTCATTAGTTTATTCTTCAGACCCATTTTCTTGTGTTGTCCTTGACAAATTAATTTACAGTTTATTACAAATTGATGTTTGTGACCACCTGTCCCGTGAGAGCTGTCTAATGAAGAAAACACCTGTAGCAACGCGGGAGTTTGGGAATACCCCTCCCAAATACGTTTCATCTCTCTAATGTCCTCAGACCCCACAGAAAGTGCTGCAGGCATTAGGTTAAATGAGAGAAGCTGTTTAATCCCCCCCACACACACAGAACAATCAGCAGCCTCTAGGCCCCATCAGTGAAATCTGTGCAGATTTGTCAATAGCCTGCCCTCTGGGTCAAATTTAAATTTCACATCAGCCCGGCACAAACATCGCATCCTTTTGATTTTAGGTGAGAACGCAGCTGCTCTTGTACACACTGCAGCACACTGCAGCTTAACTCTATAAATTACTACAAATAACCTCCACTAGATGAATCTAACACTTTGTATTAAGTTTTTGAAAATTAGGTATTAATTTGCATTAGTTTCCCTAATAACCCTGTGATGTTAATTTGCTTAATGTGTAGCCTACAAAAACACTTTATTAGACCCACCAAATAATAAGAGGAAAATTGAGGGTTTTCACTGGTGTATATTGTTTTTTTTTGCTTTGATTAATTCATTTATTCCATTCATTAGTTTTAACATGAAAGCCTTTTTACTCTAGTAACAAAAAATGTGTTTGTTTTTTTTGTCTTCACCTTCATGCTCCTTTTTGTGTTCAGCAACGCTGTTTTGCATGTGGATCAGTTTTAGATTTTTGTGGTGCATTAATTTGCTAATTAAACCAGTAGCTTGAATGATTGACTTGTAATCCAACCATGCTTATTTGCTTTGATTTTAACTCAATCTAGGTGTTTACGTGACAGCTGCTGTAATTAGATCAACATCATGATCCGGTTAGTGTGAATAAATTACTGTGGCAAATATGAGTTATTCATGAGTCAGTACTGCAATCCTGGCGCCTTGGAACTAGTACTGGGCTGGACAATTATGGCAGCACATTCTGCACGTTCCCAGTGAGAAGAGAGCATGTGTTAAAACTTTGTGTGTCAAGATAGGAGTTTTGAATGTGAGGTATCAAGGCTTAAACCGAGTACAGTTCAAAGCTTGCAGTCATGGCTGAGAGAAGAATTTGCATTGGTGGGCTTATGTGTTTTCCACCTCATCCCTACCTTTGTTTTCATGTGACAACTGCTTGACAGCCAGGGAAATGGGACACGAGCTGAGGAAAAGGGTCGGGTTTGGAGTTTGTCTTCCAAAGAAATGAACTGACAAACAGTTGAGTGTCCTCACTCACCACTGGTACAAAATGATGGAGGAATTCTGCAGTCTCAGTCCAAAAATAAACCCTTCTGCCTTTTCATTGGAGCGTGGTAGGACCACTATTAACCCTGTTCATAAGTCAGGGGCTTAGGGTCACCACAGATCTTTTTTGAGATTTTGTGTGAGTGGTTGGTGACATCTGGATTAATGATAGGCAGCTCAGAATTTGCCATAGTTTTTCCTTAAGTCACAGGTCAACAATTGAAATTCAAGTTTGTTTAACAAGATTAATATGGCAGTGGGCCAGTTTGCCCTTTTCCTCCACTTATCCCTAAAAATCCTTATAATTTCTAAGATCCATACTTAAATGTTTATGGCAATACATGAGCTTACATCTTTTAATTTGAAGCATCTGCTGAGAACTGTTTAATGCTGCCTGATCCTCTTTCTTAGCAACAAAGTGAAAAGCTCCCACATCAGGTTAAATGCAGCTGCTGCAGACAGATGTTAGCAGGAGCTCCTAGAAGTCAGAATGGCGATAATCAGGTCTTGTGGATTCCATCTCACCACCCATGCACACACTAATGCATGCTGAGGCACACAATCTCTTAAGAGCTTATCAGGTTTGAATCATTAGCACAGCTCTCCTGCTGCTGTTTGTGCTGTGTGCAACAGTCACATTCTGCTGCTACAGAGAAGGATTTATTACTGTGCTTTTGCAGTCTAAGTCATGTCCCTGTGAGAACCAGGACGAAAATATCATTCAAATGTCAGGTGGGCTTAGGTACAATGAAGGGGTCACAGGTCACAGATGGATGGATGGATGTGTTAGATTACTGTGCATCGCTAAGCACGCATAACTGCCTACTTACACACTATACTACACTACAGTACACTTATCACTGTTATGTAAAATGCTCTGGATTTGATAGTTTTCATTTGTTATTGTTAGCTTATCATAGTTGTTCTTAAAGGACCATATTAGCATTTGTTTTGCTGTTTGACAGTGACTTACTCCAAGAAAGACTGGTCATAAAACTGATTATTTCAAGTACATCACAGTACATCACAACAGATGGATACATGCATTTTGTCTTGCTGTTGTGAGATGGTACTATATATATGTATATATATATATATATCAGTGTTCCTATATATTGTGTGTATGTAGCTTAAGCCTTTGTATTATATGGCTTGCTCTGCTTGAGCAGTTAGCCACATTAAACCGCTGTTAGTACCTATTAGTACCTTTGTCCATTAAACCAGTTCCATTTGTATAGGCATAAGCACCTGAGTGTTGGGTATGCACACACCTCACTATATGCATGGCTGTAGTATGTGCTGTTGTACACTGCTGTAATTCTTAAAGAAAGCTCTCTCTATCCAAGTGGGATCAGAGAGTGATGATATATCAGGCGGACCTGGAGAATGTGTTCACTTAAGGTCACATTCATATCAGAAACTGCTACAGTGTTATGCTAAATAGATATCGACCTTCCTACCCCACAACCTCCCATCAGTGTTGTGTTAAATCACGGAAAAGGTGGCAGCCATTGCTGAATTTTCCCCAGCGTGTGTTCAGTGAGAGAAAGCTGGTGTCTCCTCTGTGTACGCAGCATAATGATTCACCCCTTTGTGTGCGTGTGCATAGGGCAGTCTGTTCGTCATCACTGTGGTTTAGGTGCTCTCCGCCTCCTCTTTGGTTACTGAAATATGAGCTGATAAAGCTGGTAATAAAGATGTTGCGTCATGTTTTTAATGCCAGACTTGTATCGTGCACATCCGAAACTGAAAAGCATAAAGCATGGCCGTCATAGCGTAGAGCAAAGGTGTTCTCACTGTGGCATCAGGTCAGCGTAGACGGGCTGTCACGAACACACACACTCCATTGTCCCCTGCACAATGTTGTTGGGTGTGGTGCTAAGCAAAAACACCCTGAAGGCAAACTGGGAATCTGCGGTTAGAGGTGATCTCCAAGGTACTCCACTGTGTTGTTATAAACACGCATTATATAGAAGTCACAAAGAGGTTACAGGATCAAGTCACACAGTAGAAGCCTTGTTTGGAGTTTAGGACATGCCAACCAGTTTTAATGTCACATAACGTGAAAATTGCTGTTTCAATAACCTAATTAACTCCTATAGTGTATAATTTACCAGCATCTTGTTCTTCTTTCTCTGTGATTTGTCATATTGTTGACATCTTTGTGAAAGAGTGGGAGTTTTTCTGATTATTTCCCCATAGACTGTCGGGTTTAATGCAATCCTTCATGTACACTTGATATAAATGTAACTCCACTGTCAAAGCAAAGGGGGAAAATTCAGCAGAATACAGTAACAAGCTTCTCACATGTCTAAACTGCACATGTGCGCAACAACAAAGTGTATGTTGGTTTTTTCTTCCTTGGCTTTGTGTGGAGAAGAGATGCAGTACAGTATAGTGTACAATCACGTTTTACATACCAGTGTAACTGGCAAAGACACTATGATGACCTTCACTTTTTCCCCTCCCTTCTGCTCCTTTTGTTCCGTGCCTCTCTCCAACTTTTCCTGTCACTTACATCTTTCCCACTCTCTGTTTCCCTCTGCCTCCATTGCTCCATCCTCTGCAGGCTTGCCAAGTTTTGTCAAATCCCCAGAGGATCAGACGGGCATCTCGGGCGGAGTTGCCTCGTTTGTGTGCCAGGCCACCGGGGAGCCCAAACCCAGAATCACCTGGATGAAGAAAGGCAAGAAAGTCAGCTCCCAGCGCTTTGAGGTGAGTGCTCATGTGTGATACTCACATACACACTCACAAGTACTGTGTACACATGAATGCAGACAGGCACCAACACAACACACTTGACAAAACATTGCAGGCGTGGGAGTCAGTCTGGCTCTGTAATCCTCTCTCATTAAGACAGACACTTCCACACATGCCTGCACACTCATAGCATTTACATGCACACACAGCACACACAATCAATTGCCCTGTTATTGAGCATCACACCAACTCTTTCTTTTTTCTCTGAGTGAGACCAGACAGGCTTCCCTTCTCTTTATTCTCCTTCCATCTTGATTTATATAGTCCTCTTCATCTCCTTCGGTGTTTTCACACCCTCCTCCCTCCCCTTCACCTCCAACCACCTCTGACCATACATCCCCTTGATATATTACTTGATTCATTTCCCATCCCTCTTTTGAATCTGTGTAAACAGAAGAAAGAGCCTCATGTGAGATCTCACAGTTTCTGACCACTGTAACATAATGCAGCTGTGATAGCTGGGAGGAATATTGGTTTATACTCCTGGCTGCTATTCCTCGATATGATCATTGTTGTGTTTCTGCTGAGTGCATTAGTGTTGGATATGATTCAGTATTATCATTTGCTCTAATTAGCCATTCTTGAGAATGACAGAATTATATTCTGCTATTTTGAAAACTCTGGTTTTGCAGCAGGAGATGAAAATGTGAGACACTGGCTAAACTGTAAAACTGGCAAATGTTCTTTTTTTCTTCTCTCAGATCAAGAAAACCATAATCTGCAAGCAGAAATGTATGTTATTTGCTTTGCTCTGGCTCTCCCAGGTGATTGAATTTGATGACGGCTCAGGCTCTGTACTGCGGATCCAGCCACTGCGCACACATAGAGATGAAGCCATTTACGAGTGCACAGCCACCAACAGTGCTGGCGAGATCAACACTAGTGCCAAGCTCACAGTGCTTGAAGGTAAGATAAGTCTGTTTTTTCTGCTTTGTTTCTCTTTCCATCTTGTTTTCAGTCTCACTTTTTTCTTAAACCACTCCTCTTTCTCCTGCTGCTGCTGAATTTGTTCACCTTTTATTCCAACATATCCAAAAGAAAATATGAATATTTGCCTTAACTGTTCATATGTAAACATTTGCAAACTCTTGAGTATTCCTGGTATTGGCAGTGTCATGGAGGAGCACATCTAATGTAAACTCCACAAGGTGAAAATATGCTAAGAATGTGTTTTTAGATAGGATAGAATACAGTTCAGCAATTTACTAAATGTATAAACTTTGTCTCCCTCTTTCAAGGAGATCCTCAGTCTTGGCTGAACTCTGTACCACAACAAATCAATGCTATAATCAATTAAAAGAAATGATCAGTTGCCTCACAAAACCCTTATAGTGGATAATGACTCATGGCTGAATATATGACTTAAATAAATCTTTATAGATCAATAATTCCCCACGTATCCGGGGGACTTCAAGAAAAAAATGCTCCACATAGACATATAAACAACTTTTAGAGTGTTTTCCACATACAGGGCTGCCCTCTGTGCCTGCAGGCTTTTTTGACCTCTGTAGACCTTCATCCTCCATGTGATTTATGTTGGCAGAGGTTCTGCACCTTTCCCTGCTCAGCTTCCCATATCACTGAGCTGTGAGCATGAATTTTTTTTTTCTTTATTTGATTGTAATTTTGTCATGTGGGTGCTAGTCATCGCAGGAGTTGATTTCATTAGAAACTTAAAAGACAAAAGCTCCAGCGATAGACAGCGAGAGGATTAAGACTGCCCATAGCCATTACACTGGCATTAAAGCAGATCTCCTCCCATTCAAATACCGCCTTTTATCTCCTGTTTGGATCACTTCTTTCTTCCACCCACTCTTCCTTTTTCTCTTTCCATCCTGATTTGATGATACCATTGGCTGGGGCTTGCGTAATCTTCCAGAAGGGACTTCTGCGCAAAGAAAGGGTTTCTTTCTACGCCTCATTCGCAGTGCATTGTGGGGAATGCTTTGACCTGTACACACAAACAGCACTAACATGACGTGAAGGGTGCAAAAAGGAAATTGAAATTAATAACATTCTAAGTGATTGGGGCCATAATAAGAGGCTGATTTTTGATTCCTTCAGTTAGTGGAATAGAAAGGGAGAACGGTCCCACTCAACTGTGAGCAGCTTTTCTCTCTGTGACCATGTGCACAGTGTTGTTTCTGCTAAACCCAGAGTCAAGTACCATCCAGACACATGCAACACACACATGATGGATGCTTGTATTTATAGGGCTTTACTAGTACACATGGGAACCAGACCTTTAGCCATGGCAGTGTTACCAGTACTGTTTGTGTTTTGGCTTTGACCACATGTGAACAGTCACAAGATCACAATGAATTAAATGTTACTGTTTCACAGTGTTTATGTGGGTTTTTTTTTTATATATATATAATATACACTTATTTAAATCAGCATCAAGCAACTGTTAATATTAAAATTAGTGAAAGGCTGCTAGCGTCAGTGATTCCATTAAAAATCATCACCTGGGTCTATATGTTTGTGCAGAGGTGATCCGCTTTGAGCTCACTGTTTCGGTCTGTCAAACCAAAACAGTGTAAGTGCATACAAAGCTGTGGACACCTGCTCTCATCCTACAAGCTCAAGCAAGCTGGTTCTACTTTACCTGCTAAGAATGAAATGGCAGATAGCCAAAGCAAATGAGAGACTGGCCAAGTAGAAATCATTGTCAAACCACTGGCAAGACAACGAGGGATTTATTTCCAAACCAGGACTCCATTAGGGTGTTTTCAAGTTGTTTGGTATGTGTTGGAAGACAGGATTCTACCAAAGCAAAAGGCTTTTTGTCTTTCAAAAAAACTGTCATTGTTAAAAAATTCTTCATAAAGATTTAACTGTAAATATAAGTAACTGGAATTGTTAATCGGTTACAGTTTTTTATTAGCATATACCAAATTAAAACTGCAATGTATTATAGTAATTTAGTGCTGGAGTAAGTTGTTTTTGTAAAAATTGTGATAACCCATCAGTTTGTCTGTTTTTTGCCATTTTATTGTGGGTTATTAGTGTAGTGACTGAGTCTGGTTGAGAATGGAGCCACACATCACATTTAATCAGAATAACTCCTTTAATCTGATTGGCCAGAAGCCGGAGGATGTGCAAGACAGCTTGTTCATACATGCACGTGTGCACACAACCTTATAACCATAATCATATTCACTGACGCAAACACACACAGTACAAACACACTCTCGCGGAGCAATGTCATCAGCTCCATTCTGTTTTTAGACTATTGTTTGCAGTCTAGCAATACATCAAGTTCATATCAGCAGCACTACATCAGAAAACACCAGGGCAGCACCAAACAGATGGAGACTAATGATCTTCCTTCTTAATCGGCTGGCCGTAACCTGAAGGTCTGGGAACTTGGTGTCACATCAGGATGTTGCTGCTTTGGACAAAAAGATAAAATCTGGAGAAACCTACTGAACTTTGGTAAAATTAATTGATTGCAGTACCTTTTGTCAAGGTACAGAACCAGTGACGCTTCTCAGTAGCCAATAATAGAGGACTGCAGCTGTGCTGGGTAGCTCTATTAATGGGAATGTCTGGAGAAAAATAAAGCTGGATGTTGCTGAAAAACATGTCATGCCTCAGTCAAGCTTCCTGGAATAAATAGAGGTTGAAAAAAAAAGAAGTTATGAGCTAAAACGTCCTGTTTTTGTATTCTTAAAGATAAGCCTTATGACTTATCATACAGTACATGTGACTTTGCATCCACATGAAGTGGTCATAATACATCCAGACAGCCAGTGAGAATAGCGAAGTCATTATATCACTAGGTCGATCTGGATTAACGGCTAAAGCAGGGCAAAGCAAGGTCCAATTTAATTATGATTACGTATTTCATATACAGGTTCTTTATATTGTAATGCCAATCCTGCAAATTTGGATTACGATAGTCATACCGGCACAGCTTTGCACGTGCTTTCTTTGTGCTCAAAGGAAGGCTGCAGTGTATAAAGGAAAACACAAAGGTTCAGAAGTGCCTATAGTGTCTGGACCACTTGCTTACTTCAGTGGGTGTCCTCATCGTGTCCGTACAGCCAATGCTTTATGTAATTCCAGAGAATTTCATGAAATCCTTTCAAATGATTTTTTTGCATCAAATATAATATGATTTTTCACACTTTTATAAGTTGGCAGTTGCTTCACTTTCACTCTTGACAAGTCATTGATTTGTCAAACATTGATTAAAATGCACGATACCCAACCTTGTGTGAGCAGTTCAGGTTGTATAGAAATGAATGCTTCTCATGCTGGACCTGTTCTGGTAGTTCTGTCCACACAAGATGTTGGTGTCTGTTGGTGACCAGTGGTGGTTCTCTGTTTTTCTTAACTGGAGCACATGATCAGAGTTGGGGTTGTTAGTATTTAGTCTGCCGCTCACCTGCGGGGAGTTATTAAGGCATGTTTTCACACCAGCTGAGTTGGGTATTAGCACTTTTGCAGTCATGAGTCTCGAGTCACTCTGTAATTCTGTCACGCTGTAACAGCCCTGCTCTTTGTTCATGGCGGTTCTCACGCCCTTGCCCAGGAGGTCACACCACTGAGACTTGCATACAGGCCCAATGTCAGCACAGCCATTCCTCATTGTGTGTGAGACGCATACACACAGAGCAGCAGAATGAGAGCATAGTTTGTCCCTTTATTGTCGTCACACTGCCATAAGTTAAGACATGAGGATCCTTGGTTATAATCATCTTTGTGCCCTGTTTTTAATAACCATCTATGTGCAAAATCACTTTTTGATAGACTGTATGTGTGTAAGAGAGAGAGAAAGGGAGTCAGGTAGGTGTGTACAGATCTGGCCTATATGGATAAATAACGATTCAGATGATGTTGATACCAGAGGGGTAGGTGTGATTGAGAAAGATTATTGCCATCAGTCTTTCATGTCTATTTCTCTTTCCC